GCTGCCCCATCCTCTATTGATAACTTTTGTAGTCTTCCAAATTTAAAAAAATCTTTATTGTTAGTGAAGTGTGCAGGTGTCCTAGACATGATAATATACAATACAAGGTTATTCTGAAATTTTGAAGAAATCCTGTCTGTTACAGCAGAAAGGGAATTGATGGGGAGCCTACGTGGCCATGAGTTCATAGAGTATTTCTTCCTTTTAAATATGGGCTTTTGGAACTTTCTCTAAAACTCTTTACTATTTAGTATTCACAACTCTTAAAAAGACTATACATTCTCATTAAAGCTTCTATAATGAAATAACAAAGGATTCTGTTTAAGCAATAAAAATCTAGTATGAAATTAGAACCTAGGCAGTCCAAAGTCAATGCAGAATCAATTACTGTTGATGACCTTCTTCCTAGCTCTGAGATGATTCTGCTCAGAGTGCCTTCATATGGCAGATAGAGCATGGAGTATGTGGAAGCTCCTTCTTACAGGCAAGTTGAGGAAAGGCTGCCCCCCTCAAAACCCCATCAATGCTAACCTTCCAATGCCATAGAGGTAGTTAAGACATCAACATGACAATTTGAAGGAACATAAATAATCAACCCAAAACAAATGCTAGCTTCACATTTACTTAAATGTGTTTTAAAGATATGAACAAAGAGGCTTGAGAGATGACACAGAGGTTCAGAGCATGCACTTCTGTAGGAGAGGACTGGGTCACTCACACCTGCCTGTAATTCCAGCTTCAGAAAATCTGAGGTTCTCTTCTAGCCTCCTTGGATGACTGCATTCAAATGCACATACCCCCACACAGATACACATGCATACACATGATTTCAAAAATTCTAATACATCTTGAAGAAAAATATGAACAAAATTATTTGGCCATGAATGTTTCTTGATATAAAAGTCTATTATTTCTTATGCAAGGAGATTATAGGCATGTCCATACAGAAGATAATGGTCTCCAAAACAATTTCCATAAATGTAAAAAATGAAGTTACAGGAGAAAAAGGACCAGCAGTTGGCATGTGTGCTTTCTATGTGCACAGCTCATTTTTTTCTTTTTTCATTTTATTTAAAGGTTCTTTTATTTTCCATTTTATATACCAACCACAGTTCCCCCTCCTTCCCCTGCTCCTGCTCAGTTCATTTTAATTATAGTGAAATGTTTGGAAGGAAGAGAAGTGATCAGTTAGTATAAAAAGAGTATACATGTGGTTGTTGTGGACAGCCTTGAATGTTAGTCTTGTCATTTGTGGATTTTTTATTCAGTGGTTTGAAAACCACTGTACTTGTTTTTCATAAAATCATGGGTCACAATATTTTAGGATTTTAAGTCATTGGGAAACAAGGATACATTGGGATACATAGAAATTACACAGACTTTGAACCAGTGTTCATCTTTGTGGAATCGCTGATGTGAGATGATGCCTGTCCCTTCACATGTGGCGGGAACACACAGCCTGCAAAGTCTGAGGTTTATTGTCTGGAAACCAGCTGACTCTGGCCATATATATGTATATATAAAACTTTATTTTAATGCTAATTTTTTCATCCTTGCTGATAGTAAAGTTGAAAAAATGTCATTTACAGTCAGTGAACAAATTTTATCAAACCAGCTGCTTCTGCCTTTGTTTCTGCTTCTGACGTCAGAATCCGTTTACAGGTGATGAAGTGGCAGCTATAGTTCCCATGATGGCTTTGTGACTTCACTAATTGTGATCTTCATGATTCAGGGAATCCCAGCCTCGTTAATCTTACTTGTACACTTATGTATTTGAAGCATCTATGTGATACTGGTTTGTTATATGATTCCCATTCTTGTGTGTCTCAGACATTAAAGAGAACAAGGTCAGACTCTGTCCCTCTGTCTCTATGTCCATCCTTTTTCTCCTGAGCCTTTTTCAGTTATCATTACCACTTTGTAAAGGATTATTCTGATAAACAAATATAATAGTTTTAAATGTATTTCCTGCATAGCATAACAATGAGGAAGAAAAATCAATTAAAATGTCATTTCTAAAATATGTTCAAGTTGTTACATAATACTATAGAATTTTATAATACACTTCCTCTTTTGAACAATGGCATGACTTATTTTGACATATTCTGCAACTATCTTTTATGTACCAATTCTTTGAGTCTTGATTTATAGTATTTTGCATAAATTCTTTGATGATTTTATTTTCATAATGCTTCTAGACAGATTATCTTCATACATACTGCTGTTTTTATATTAATTTATAACATCCAGAATCTATAATTCTTGTTGCTGCCTTCAAGATATGTTTACAATATGTTAGTACAAAATAATTGCATTCACTTTCATAATTAATTTTAAATTAATTTTTTTTACATGAGACAAACTTTTTCTTGAACACAGAAGTACTTGTTTTAACTTTTGGTAATGTTGAAAGCCTGATTGAATATCTTGAAGGTAGTTTAAAGTTTGCGCTAGTTTGCAAAGAGATTAGAAATGCAATTGTAACCTTCCCTGTTTCATATAAACATAATATTGGATAAGAACCTTTCTCTTATGGTTTGGGTTATATACAAAATGTTCATTGTCTGTCAAGGTCTGTGTGAAAATGCTTTCAGGTGAATACAGATTCTCTGCTCTCTTCTTGGCACCGCTACTAACAATCATTGGATTGTAAGTGTAAGTTCAGGAAGATTTCAGTACCTTTGTGAAGTTTCTAAATGAGAATTTATGTCAGAATTACCTGATGGACTTCCTAAAAAGACATGTGCTTGTACATATCCTGAATATTGTAAATCAAATCCTCATAGTAGGAGCAAGAAAATCATGAGTCTCTGTATATGCTCGTAAATTATAGACAAATATGCAGGGTCTCAGGAGATGCCTCAGTTCTTTGATAGTCCTTTCATAGCAAGCATGGAATATTTGGTTGATCTCAGGATCCCACGTAAAGGTGGAGCGAGATAACTGACTCCACAGAATTGTCCTCTCATTTCCACAGGTATACCTTTGTATGAGTTTAGAAACATATATAGTGCCCACAATAAAATAATAATGAAAAACTTAAGCATGAAATTATCTCATTAAAATACTGCAGAGTTTCTACCAAGATATGTGTCACTATTTATCCTGCAATTTGTATGGAAACTCCAATTTGATTCACACTATTAAATCTCCTCCATGGAGCTGTTAACACAGTTAGTTTTGTTTTGCTTTGCTTGTGATCAAGAACAAAATATACGTCATTGTGTTTTTTTCCTTGTGTTCCATTTGGATTATAAGGATCATCTGAGTCAAAGGTCTAATTAGATTTTTAGGTGGTTTGTGTGCAATATCAATGTTTTAATTTGTTATTGTTGCTCCAATTTGGTGAGAATTAGTTGGGCTTCTTTTCTAAACTTAAAGCAAAATGAGTACTGAGAATAAGAGTATGGGACCAAACAATCTGGGTAGCAACCATCACATGAGACATATATAAGTGTGTCAGTAAGATTTGTCTAGGTTAGGAAATGAACTAATTTTGTGTGTCAATTTATATATTTTTTCTTTTTTATTAGCAAAAGAGGAACAGCAAAATCTCATTGGGCAATAAATGTTGTATAGTGTGTATATGTGATATGAATATGTGTATAAGAGTGCTGGTACATATATGTAAAATATTGTTTATACTACAGCTACTAGAGTATACATAATATACATATAAATATATATGTATTTTATATTCATAGAATAAAATAATATAACATTATACCATATATATTCTATAATAATAATATATATTATTTCATTTATAGTATACATAAAATATAGTTTATACTATAGGTACTATATACATAGTTATTATATATTATATAGGATATATAGGATATAGTATATGTTTTTACATCTAATATATGCTAATGTAGTCTATACTATGTAAATTATTTAGAATACATTTTAGTTGATTTTATATCCTTTTTGAGATGAATTGGATTATCTTAATACCCACATATGTGCATACATATGCCTGTAAGAATATTAGGTTAATTTGCATTCCAAATACCACTATTAAATTTTCAATGTATTTCTTGTTAAATACTTCTACTAAGTAAAATGTCCCTTGGAATTGGCCATATATCTATCGTGTTCTTTATTATTAAAGTCTTTCTGTTTTGCATCATTATATGCAGAGGATTTGTGATTTTTTTCAGTGAAGAGACTGAGAACAGAACCTATGAAAAGCGATCACTCTTCACGAGCTATTGTTTCAATCATCTTCATACCACATATATAGTTCTTTATTTGAACAGATGTTGCTTTTTTTAGTGCAATATTCAATTTTTGTAAGCAAACTTCCAGTGAATGCTTTTAAATAACATTTTAACATCATTAGTCTTCTTAGGAAATCACATACAAATTTAAAATTCTGAAATATAAGTATCAGACATCTACATAGAGAGCTTTATTGTTTAGCAATGAGCTGTTAAAGAAAGCAGCGTTGGTGAGTGCTTTATAGAAAGGAGCAGTGCTTTACATAAAGGCTGTAGAATGAATCTGAGAAACATCGATATGCTTCCACTCCCATTAAATCTACATTTAATGAGTACTCTAAATATGAGCACAGCTCCTAAGCCACTTATTTTTTAAATGAGAGATTGAGTGGACACAAGGTTTTCCTTTAAATTTTAGCATATATTTCTAAGTAAGGTAGATGGATTGTATGAGTTAAGAATATTGAACTAATGCCCTGTTGGAAAATATTTTAAATCAGACCATATTCTTTCAGATAATGTTATGAAGACTTGTGTCTGCCCCAGATGTCCACGGCAGTAGAGTGGATTAAGTCAGCTCAAAAGCACTACCATAATCTGAGCCAGAAAACTAACATGGACTCTGATTGGCATAAACTCTTATTGTGTTTGAATGCTGACGGTGCATTTTCATGACAGAGTCTCCTCTACAGTTATTGACACTCATAAATGAAAAGGCTTGCTTTGCTGACTATCTAATTGGCAATTTAATTTCCCCAATAACTTCCTTTACAGGAACTCGATTTTGAATCCAAGACAAGTTATACGCTGCGCATAGAAGCTGCAAATCGTGATGCCGATCCCCGCTTCCTAAGTTTGGGTCCCTTCAGTGACACAACAACCGTAAAGATAATCGTGGAAGATGTGGATGAGCCCCCTGAGTTTTCCTCACCCTTGTACCCAATGGAGGTGTCAGAAGCAACACAGGTGGGAAATATCATTGGCACTGTAGCAGCTCATGACCCGGATTCTTCTAACAGCCCTGTAAGGTAAAGGATTGTTGCTCCCCCTTTCCTACTATTCTCATCAGTATTCTTGTGTTCACACTCATACTTCTGTATAATGGTCTTTTCTGATTTGTAACAAGTAAACTGCTACTTTCTTTCTAAGCAAGGCCATAGTATAAAACTCTCAACAGGATAAGAATAACACAGCATCTCTACTAATTCAGTGTAGGGATTAATTAATTAATTAATTTAATTGCATATTAATTAAATAAGTAATCTTTCAAATTGATCTCTGTGGACAGCTTGTTCTTATTAAATTTATTGTTTCTAGTTGTAAAAATAAAACAATACCTTATGTATGCATGCAGTTAATTTAAATTACCATTCTTAAAATTAGAATAAACACATTGCTATAAAATAATCTCATGAAATATAATACAATTATGATATGTAAGCAATTCAAACTATCTACACCCTCCCATCTGAGATCTGCTTGTGTGTTAGCATGTATGCATGTGTTTGTGTGAATGTGATGAATGATCTGTGTAGCTTTGGATGAACATAGTAGGCAAAATATGCTTGAGAAATTATGGACATTGTGTTTAATTTTAAGTATGTAATATATTTCCTCATTCAATGGCTGTTCTAGTTTAATTTCTTTTTCTGTGATAAAATATCCTTACAACAATCAACTTAAAGACAAGGGTTTATTTTTCTCACAGTTCCATGTTACAGTCCATCATGGCAGTGGGAACATAAACAGTTGACCATGTCATATTAATAGTCAAACATAAAAAGAGAACAAACGGCCGGGCGGTGGTGGCGCACGCCTTTAATCCCAGCACTCGGGAGGCAGAGCCAGGCGGATCTCTGTGAGTTCGAGGCCAGCCTGGGCTACCAAGTGAGTTCCAGGAAAGGCGCAAAGCTACACAGAGAAACCCTGTCTCGAAAAACCAAAAAAAAAAAAAAAAAAAAAAAGAGAACAAACGTATACATGCTCAATTGCTTCTTATCAGTGCTTGGCTTGGATTCTTCACTCTTTTATGCCTCTCATTCACAATTAATTGTGATATATATCATATACACACATATAAATTTACAAATACAGCCTGCTGTGTTTATTTAGTGTTTCTCATATGTACATGTATTTAGGGTTGATGATGTGTGATTAGGTAATCTATCAAAATGCTTGTCCCTAGAGAAGACTAATTTTCTCTTTCAGTAGCCATTAAGTGCTTGTAACTATTCATCTAGAGGTGTAACCTTGTGCAATTTCCTAAAATTGTAGAATATGGATAGGAAATGTTTCTCCACTCTTACACAATTTAGGAGTTCCTCCATAGACCTAGAGATCTGAGTCTTTCCACATTAATCAATTTAATTAAGACAAACCCTCACGTTCATGCTCACAGTAAGCATAGATCAGATATTGATGATAATTGTACTTCTACTTAAATTATTTAATTTAATGAGGGGGATCGTAGTCTTTTCCAGTGGCTGAGAGTATTAAAAGCAATGAAATCATACTAACACTTACCATTATTTGGTGCCACAATGAACGAGGGTATTTATGAACATCTAAAGAGTCGATTGGTATTTTTTATCTTAATTTTATTTTCACTACTAATTCCTTATAGATTATATTGTTGAAATTTTCCTGAGAAACCATTGCATTTTTCAAAAATTTTTATGTGAAATGAGGCAATAGTAATGATATAATTAAAAGAAAGAGAAGGCAAAATGGATAATGACTGGTATTATCCATGACTAAATGGATAGTCACGGGTATTAGGATAGACGAAATATGTTCCAAGGTTGATCTCCAAAAGGGATAGCCATGCCAAAGGCTATGTAGGTCAAGGTCATATGACTTTTACCAGTGAAAGGACATGCCTGTCCACTGTTTTTCACCTGTTTCCTTTTCTAAAATGTATGGAAGATGAGTTGGAAGTTAACAGCAATCTTACGTTGTTTTCTCACAGAGAGATAGGCTTGTCTCAAGCAGTTTAAAATGACTAATTTGGTATGATTGCCTGTGTCTTCACCTTTATCTGTTTGAGTCTTTGGAGAGCCTGCTACAGTGTAGGAAAAAAATCCACAATATTAGTGAGAAATAAACTTTTTCTATCTGAGGTGTAGGAAAGGAGCACACACGTTCTTTATTACTGAATCTTGAAAACTCTTTTCCTCTCAGAAAACTCTAGACAATATATGAGTTACATTTTGAGGGTCACATTACATTTCTTGAGTAAACAATAAGAAGCAGAGTCATTCTGATTACATACATGGTATCACAGGGTTTCTCTCAGACTTGGAATGTTGCGCTAATTAACTGAAACCAATGCTTGGCTGTCAGCCATGCTCCCTAGTAAACAGGTAGGAGGCACATAGTGCTTGAATGCCCCTCACTTTCTCAAGGGACAATGACCTTAAAGCATCACAGGACCTAAACATAAACAGTTAATTGGCTGATCCTTGAGTCTTACATCATAAAACTAAGATTAGGAGTTCATGAAGACAGAATTTATATAGGGAGTTATGTATTTAATGGTATTAGCTAGAGTTTTGCAAGCAAAGTACTGGCACTAAAATTGCTTCATGCCTGAACTTGGTTCAACATAATTTGACAGTAAAATCAAGGTACCCAGAACATTCTGGTTTGGTGACAGCATATAAAGCAAGAAATGACAAAATGCTCTTCAAGATATCTGAATCTTTTTTTTTTTATTATTTTGCAATACAATTCAGTTCTACATATCAGCCATGGATTCCCCTGTTCTCCCCCCTCCTGCCCCCCTTGCCTTCCCCCCAGCCCACCTCCCATTCCCACCTCCTCCAGGGCAAAGCCTCCCCCGAGGACTGAGATCAACCTGATAGACTCAGTCCAGGTAGGTCCAGTCCCCTCCTCCCATGCCGAGCCAAGCGACCCTGCATAGGCCCCAAACAGCCAGGTTTCAAACAGACAACTCATGCAATGAGCACAGGACCCAGTCCCACTGCCTGGATGCCTCCCAAACAGATCAAGCCAATCAACTGTCTCACCCATCCAGAGGGCCTGATCCAGTTGGGGACCCCACAGCCATTGGTTCATAGTTCATGTGTTTCCATTCATTTGGCTATTTGTCCCTGTGCTTTATCCAACCTTGATTTCAACAATTCTCACTCATATAAACCCTCCTCTTTCTCGCTAATTGGACTCCCAGAGCTCCACCCGGGGCCTAGCCATGGATCTCTGCATCCAGATCCCTCAGTAGTTGGATGGGGTTTCTAGCACGACAATTAGGGTGTTTGGCCATCCCATCACCAGAGTAGGTCAGTTCGGGCTGAATCTCGACCATTGCCAGCAGTCTGTTGTGTGGGTATCTTTGTGGATTTCTGTGGGCCTCTCTAGCACTTTGCTTCTTCCTATTCTCATGTGGTCTTCATTTACCATGGTCTCCTATTCCTTGTTCTCCCTCTATGTTGTCTTAAGCAGGAGAGATATAAACAGACTCATCCTTGTTGTTGTATCCAGAAACTATTCATCATTGCTAATCATTTTTTACAAGGAATCTTACTCTTTTATTTATCTCATAAACTAGAATTTTATAATTTTACTTTCTGTGAGGTTTGTTTATTTGTGCCATAGTTTCCCTTTTTTCCCGAAGTTAGTCATTTATTTTCTATTGATTACAATTAAACATGTTAGCAAAACAATAGAAGATAAATCAGATTGAGCTCTGGAAACTTTCAAACTCATGGACAATGGCTTTGTGGAAGAAAAATTGTATTTTTATTAAGAGATCAGTTAATTTTCAGACTGTAAACACTCCTTCAGCTTGTATCTACAGAGAAACAACAGTCTTCTAAGGAAGTAGGGAACAAGAACTTCCAGATGGTTGTAGAATGTGATGAGTCTTCATAATTATGATCTTGATTCTATGACTTCACAAATGTTGTTCATTTTGTTTCACATTTATTTAGCGTGTGTTTGTGTTTACACTTGTGCATATTTGTGCACATACAAGTCCATGTATACTTGCACAAAGTGGCTATACAGTGTACAGATCAGAAGTTAGTTTTTGAATCTTGCTCTCCCTTCTCACCATGTGGGTTCTGATTGCTAACCCTATTGTCATAAACAAGAAGTATTTGATTTACTGTAGCTATTTAAAGGGAAGACAGTTTTATTGGAAGTGCTAAATAGTGCAGACATTGAATCATCAGTTAACATAATAATGTTAACAAATTATGATACCAGATGGAAGACTGACATATGCCATTCATGTTTAGGAAATTTACTCTTACATGGGGTGATTCTAAGTAGAAATATAAGTACAAATTTCCAGTAAAGCAAAAATAAGATAAGATACTCTTCTCATGTGATGTGGATCATGTTACATCCATATGTATTCATATTCAAAGGAAAACTCAGTTTGCTAATGCATTAAACACAGCCTACATTTAACTTTTCTGTGTGCATCTGTCCTCTGCTGAGAAGAAATTGCGTGATCGCATCACTATCATAGCATTGTCATTTTGACTGTTATAGATGTAATTGGTACAAATGAAAAGGTTATAGGAACCCACCCCTGTGTGATTGTCTACAGTATAACACCATTAGGAAATATTAGGTCTCTCTGTGGCCTTACTCTCATCCAGAGAGCTTATTTAAAGTGTACCATACTACATTTAAGTTGCTTTCCATTTTCCACATGTGAACAAACAAATCTTCAGTGAAATACAAAGGTGAAAACTAGGTGATACTTAAAATTACTCAGGAAAAAAAATAGTGACTATTTGTTCTTCTCTAAGCAATTGTAGATAATAGAGTAAGCATGTCTCCATCTTGTTTCAAAATATTTGTATAGTATTTTATGTCATTTCAGGACTGAATGCTTAACATGTAGGTATATCTACTAAAAAAGGAAGGACAGGCTGCAGCCCATTCTATCTCATTGTCTTTTAAAACAGTAGTAATTTCATTTTGTAGTTCTTGTCCAAGATTGTAAGAACCATAAAGGACCCTAGGGATTAGAGAACTTCAACTCATTCTTCACGTC